AAAAAAAAAAAAAAAAAAAGTAGCTGAGGCCACTATTCTTCCCTCCAGGTCCATGGCAGACATGGATGGCAGATCACAGCATTGTCCATCTGAGTGAGGGTGAGGGGACAGAATATATCTCTACACATTGAGGCATGCAGCTACCACAGATACTTTACCTTCCCTGCATCTAGCCCTTAGGGACTAAAAATATTCCCATGTATATTTTTAGATTAGGCCTGATCCTAATGAAGCAGTTGTAGCTTTCTGGTTGTTCATGAAGTGATATATATTTAATTGAAGTAGAACACTGAATATGTTTTGAACAGCCATAGTTACTAACAGAAATCTTATATAAATAAAGCTACTGTTGTTAAAATGGAAACCAATAATCATTTATTGAGTACTAGATACTATAGTGGCCCAAGAATGCAGAATGATAGAGATATAAATCAAATAGATTTGATTTTGCATTCCAGATTTTTCATTTGCTAACTCTGTGCTTATGCAAATCAGTAACCTCTCTGAGTTACAGTTTCTTCATTCTAAAAATGGTTATAAATCAGGGTGGCTGTGAGGATTTAAGGGCGTGGGTGAATATACCAAGCATAGTGGCTGTTGCATAGTAAGCCCTCCTTAAATATTCATTTCCCCTCCCTTACTAGTTCTTTATGGAAGGAAGACCAATTCTGATCTCCAACAATAACTTTGGAAATCTAGAAAACAAGTTTGTTACCAGATTTATGCTATCTGGTGGACATTCAGGTTGTTTACGTTTTTTTTTCTTCTGTCATAGACTAAAAACTTTTTATTGTGATCTTTCAAAACATTTGTAAGTGGAGAGAATGGTACATATAATGTGCTTTCCCTCTACCTGTCACTCAGTTTTGGCAATTATCAACTCAAGTCCAGTAACCCATAACTACCACCACCCTCCTCCCTTATCCTGCTGGAATATTTTAAAACAAATCCTAGACATCATATAATTTCATCCGAAAAACTGTAGATGTTGTACTCATGGAATAAGAATAAGAAGCTAAAAACAATTTAAAATGAAAAGCAAACAAAAATTATACTGTAAACAAATGGCAGCATTCCTTTTAATATTGTCTTGTATTGTTCTTACCTTCCTTGGATTAGTTCAGTGGATCTAGTCAATAATTTTCTTAAGACTGAAAGTTAGATGTTGTAAGACTTATTTATGCAATGGGGATGAAGAAGACAATATACTTCAAATTTTCCTGTAATTATATGAGGAGCATATATTTATTTGGAGATGGCCTTTACAGGAAGGTCTTAGCTTCAGTGAATCCTTGTTTTCACCATTACAACCTTTGAGTGTATTATCCCTTCCCCCTCTTCCACAAGCTTATCTTGTGAATGCAGCTTTAATTCATGAATTTAGCGTTTATTTGCATATCATAATCTATTTGTCTTAGTATCTGTTTTCTTGATCATAAGCTATTATAGGGTTGGTATGATGTCTGTACTAGTTACTAGAAAGCCTAGAAAAATGCCACATTCAAGGAGGTACTAAATAATTTAATACATTGTGATAATGGGTATTTTCAGAAACCTGTTTTTAGAGAGGCTGTATTACCAGGAAATGTTTCTTATTTTTCCCATATTTCTGTGTCTAGCTGTGGAGTAGAGTGAGAGTTGTACACCCCAGTGTTGACAAGTAATGGGAAAGTCTTCCTTTGGCTAGGTAAGCTGAGATCCAGATCTGTAGTTTGCTTTAAGACAGTGAAAGATCACCACTACATTAGTATTCTGTCTCAGAGGAGAAGATAACCAATTTACATGAATCATTCAATCAATACACACATTTTCTTTTAGGGATTTTAGACTCTGGAATGAAGGGAAATTTAGAACGGCCATTATTTAGATCCGTAGAGTAAAGTCAAGAAAAAATTAAGGTGGCGTTAAGTTCTAAGAACTTATTTTATTAAACTGAAATTTGGTGATCTTGAAAATTTGGATTTATGGATGTTAAAAGATTACAACATGCTTCCTTTAGTCTCCTAGAAATTTTTTTAGGGTTCACGGTTTCCTTGGGAGAACCTTAGGCAAAACATATTTTTTGTTCTTTGAAAGTTCTTTCAGAAAATAAGTGAGCAGAACTAGTACCAGAATTATCAGTTCTTAATTCTACTTCTACTACCAAAAGCATTTTCACAAAATGGGGTTTCATAAGCTTTATTTATATTGGGACTTCCCTCTTGTTACATTATTATTCCAGGTTTCTTATGGAATACCTATTAGGCTATTAATATGAATAAGTGAATAAGCTACTAAGCTAATTAGTTATTAATAGCCAATAAGCTAATAAGACTTGCTTATCATTAGAATATATATTATACATGCTTGTGTATAATATATATTATAAAAGCCAAACTCTGGACATTTGGAAACTTAAAAATCTATTTTTACTCTTCTTTAGTAATGTAGCTTATATTAGAAGATTTTATTAAGTTGTTTTATTTCTGATATTTCCCCCCTTTTCTCCCAGTGAGTTTTTAGCAGAAGACAGTCAAGAGAAATTTTGGAATTTTGTAGAAGCCAGTCAAAATATTGGATCATCCGATCATCACGGTAAAATTGAAGCAAATGCTTCTTTGACTTTGGTATCTGGGAAAATATTAGAAAAAAATGGTCTCTTTCACAGTATTTGTGGCATGGCAATTAATGGAAAATGTTTTTATCTTTAATGACTAGAGTTGTGATGGTAGCCAGCAGAGCCAACACAAACTAATACTTTTGAAGCAGTTTATAATTTTGGCTATAAGTACTGCCTTTGATTTCTTCCCCCCCGCCTTGTTTTTGTTCTTTTGTGTTGTTTTATTAGAAGTGCTATGTGGATATTTTGTAGAAGTCAAATTCATTTAAAATTACTTAGTATTAAGTATTAACTTAATTACCATTGATTTTATTCCCTTTTTCTTTTGTTATGAACTAATTACACAACTCATCTATTATGTTAGGTTCGGTATCGTTAAATTAGTGCCATCCAAAATGTTTCCCGTTATGCCTGCCAGCCACCCACAACTTGAGTGTCAAGGTATCATATGAATGACAATGTCAACTTGTTTACAGTTTATAATGTGCATTCCCACTTTCTAGTTCAGTGTAAGCTTTGTAGATGTTTGTAGTATAAACATAACTAGTCAAAGATGTGGATACACAGGCAGCTAAAACCTTGAATGTTACATTGACAGGCCTTGTTGAAGAGCAAATGTGTGAAAACAATGTGACTGCTATTAATATTTAACTGAATTGTTTTTTAACTTTTTGATTTTTATTAAAAATACAAATTTTAAAAGTCAAGTCTGAATTTTTTTGTGATATTAGTACATAAAGGTTTGAGCAAACATCTGTAGTTTGAGTTACATAATTTAGAGTCAACTGGAATTGTTTGCGTTATCGAAAAAAATCATTTTACTTTTAGTATACAATTTCATAAAACAAATTTATCGAAGTGGGTCTTACAATGAAATTTGAACTCTGACATTTAAAATGAAATTTCCTCAATATAAATGATAATATGTTCTTGGTTAAAGTTGGGGGTATGAATTCTTGGAAGTGATCATAAAAATATGTTAAATATTTTATTTGAAATATTATTCATTGTCTCACCACCCAAAGGTATTGACTATTAACATTCTGGCAACATTTTAAGTATTTCTTTCTGATGTCTTTTTCTACTTAGAAGATGCTAAGGCATATAGAATCTTTTGTATTTTGCTTTTCAAAACGTTAGTTATATTCCTTAAAAACTTTTTTTGATACATAATATATGATTTACTAGTCAAGCTTATAAAATGCTTATACAGAAAAATCTTGTTCTCTCCCTGTCCCCGCTCCTGTTTCTTCCCTGCTTTTTATAACTATTTAAATTATTTTGTTTAGCCTTCAGTGGTTTTTTTTTTAACAACAAATACATCATATGTATTCTTATTTCTCATTCTTTCTTACAGTAAAAAAGATAGCTCGCTATGTACAGTTGACCCTTGAATAACATGGGTTTGAACTTCATGGGTCGACTTATACTCAGATTTTTTTCTGTGAACACAGTATAGTACTTAAATGTATTTTCTCTTTATGATTTTCTTAATAACATTTTCTTTAGCATACTTTATTGTAAGATTACAGTATAAAATTGCATATAACCTACAAAATGTGTGTTAATTGACTTTTATGTTATCGGTATTGCTTCCTGTCACCTGTAGGCTATTAGTAGTTAAGTTTTTGGGGAGTCAAAGTTATACGTGGATTTTTGACTGCATGGGGCGGTTGATGCCCCTAAACCCTGTGTTGTTCAAGGGTCAACTGTACATTGTTTTGTACCTTGCGCTTTAATAATATATCCTGGGGATTTTTTGGTACTGGTACGTGTATTTTTTTCCCCCTCAGATAGTTTTTTGCAATTTTTAAATGCTTCTTTCCAAACTACAATTTTGTTAATATCCTTTAATACTCTGTACTTCCTCATCACACTGCTCAGTTTTGCTGGGTTATTTGAGTAGGTAACAAACATATGGTAGGCATTGGGGATACAAAGATAAATACATTATAACTTCTGCCTATTGGGGCTCAAAAACTATTTGGGAAGAGGTAGATAGTGAGTAAATAATTTAGTAAATGATGTGATAAATGAAAGAGGTAAGGAGAAAAATATTATGGGACCAAAGAAGAGATGTACTTGGTCCAGTGAGGCATGGGGTAGGGATTGGGAGTGACTTTGCAGAGTAGGTGATGTCACAGCTGAATTCTTCTTGTGGAGGTAGGTAGGAGTTAGTCATCCAGGTAAGTGGGACAGTTACGGTCCAGGTAGAGGGAATAGTGTGAACAAAGGGAAGAAGAGAGGAAGAGTCCAATTACTTCCTGTACTCTAGAGAATTCTAAGCATTTGACAACAGTTCAAGATAGGATAGTGGTAAAATTTTGCCACGATATACCTCTGTAACACGTAGCTTTATACTTTATGAACTATCTTATTTGGATATGTCTAGTTGTACATAATTATTTTGGATAATGTTCTTCTTTGACAGGTACTGATTATTCCTATTATCATGCAATATTAGAAGCTGCATTTCAGTTTCTGTCACCTCTACAGCAGAATTTGTTGAAATTTTGTCTGTCCCTTCATTCGTATTCAGCTACAATTCAAGCCTTCCAGCAGGTAAGTTCAGTGCTTAGAGATAACAGTATTTTTTAGGGGTTGTATAATGTGATGATTGGATGTATTGCGATTGTCCTGGCATTGTGTTACAGAGCTATAACTTTTCTGATTGAAATTTCTGAGGATTTCTTTATAAATAGAAAGCAAAGCTGACATTAAATCTTCAGATCACAGGTTTTTTTTTTTTTTTAGTAAAAATCCATAATTTGCACTTATTTTCACTTAAGAAGAAAAGAATATCCACACAAAAATGAAACTACCAGACTTCATTTATACAACACAGTGTAGGAGGCATAGTCGTGTTAAACCAATTGACTGTGAATCTGATCACAGCCTGTAGATCTAAAAGCAGTTCACAGGAAATTCAGGGAATGGGAAATACGAAGCAATATCACAGGGGTAACAGGAAAATCTGGAATGTAGGAAAATTTGTAGTTTAAATGATCTGATTCCTTCAACAAATGTTATAAGGAAAGAAAGGAGGGAAGGAAGAACTTCAAGAGAGACTTAAAGTATATGTCAACTTAATGCAATGTGTGAATCTTGTTGGATTTTGAGTTGAACAGACTCCCATAAAAAAAAAAGATGAGAGAAGCAAAGATGAGCATACACCGATCATATATTTGATGTAAAAGAAATGTTAGTTTTATTTTTATTTTATTTATTTTATTTTTTTTTTAGATTTTATTTATTTTTTAGAGAGCGAGTGAGAGAGAAACAGCATGAGAGGGGAGAGGGTCAGAGGGAGAAGCAGACTCCCTGCCGAACAGGGAGCCCGATGCGGGACTCGATCCCGGGACTCCAGGATCATGACCTGAGCCCAAGGCAGTCGCTTAACCAACTGAGCCACCCAGGCGTCCCTCATTCCCTAGACTTTAAAGGTGCCGTCCTCCCCAACTACACTACACAGCGCGACCAAAAACGGAAGTTGGGCCTTCCTCCGATACAAGATGGCGACCATGCGACGCTCTACGCTGCCCCGACCGCGACTCGGCAGCCGGAAGTCCTCCGGCCCTGGCCATTAGGAAGCGGAAGTAAAAGGCTGTAGCTAGTTGGGCTATTGCTCTGCGAGACCGGCTTGTGAGGGGAGCCGCGGGAAAGGCGCGTGTCGGCCGCTCACTGGCGCAGCCGCTGCCGCCACCGTCACCGCCCCGCCCCGCCCCAGCGTTGTCGCTGGCATCGTCGCGGACGAAGCGCGGTCCCAGCATGGGCAGGAAGGGGGACGCGGGCGGCGCGTGTGTCGCGGCTGCGCGGCCGTTGACAGGTACCCTGGCGTGGCGTGGGGAGGTCTCGTGGACGGGCAGAGGGTCTGGGACGCGAGGCGACCCCGTGCCCCGGTCACCTTGAGCTTCCGCTTCTTCCCTCAGTTTCCCCTTCCGTGCCCCAGTCCTGTCCCTATATGCGAGTCCCGCAAGTTGCCCTCAGTGGTCTTCTGGGCAAGGTATCGCTTCAGCGAGAGTGGCCGCGGGCTCTCTTTAGCGGTTTTGAGCCTTCATAGAAGAGCTTTGAGCCCCATGTGCCCAAGTGCAGAAGGAGGTGGGGGAACTGCCCTAACCTGAATTTAGACCAAACCTGACCCTAAGTAGATTGAGAACCAGCAGTTTGCAGGACTCTGATTGGAGAACGACTTGATCTTTTTATAGATTTCTATTTTCCCTAAAATGAATTCGCGTGATGCATATTGGTTGCCGTTTTCATTTAAATACGAGGATCTGTTGGCTGGAGATTGGATGATCCGGTTTCACTTTTTGTGGGACCTGCCAGAAGAATAAAATCTGCGTACATCGCCAATAAGTTATGGATGTGAACTATTCTTCGTTGGCCAAAATCACTAGATTGTTTTGCATTTCTTGCCAGATTTGAGGACTAGCATATTTTGTTCATTTGAAGTCCGGAGGTCTTATACCTTACTGTGTTACACTATCTTGGAAACATTCATTGTGCACTTGCCAGCCAGTTTTAGTGTGATATTTGAAGACACTTAAAATAGTTACTTAACACCACAAAATTTGGGATGATTGTAGCTTTTCCACTTGGCTTGCTTTTGATAAACTTAGTTGATACTTTTTTTTTAAAGATTTTATTTATTTTTACAGACAGAGTAGGGGGAGGGGCAAAGGGAGAGGGAAAGAGAATCTCAAGCAGGTTCTGTGCTGAGCCTGAAGGGGGAGGCTTGATCTGTTGACCCTGAGATCATGACCTGAGGGGAAATCAAGAGTCTGAGCTTGACCACTGAACCACCTAGGTGCCCCGACACTCATTTTAATAAAGGAAATAAACATTGCTTAGTACAGTAGCATGACAACTTTATAGCCCACCCTTTAACTTGAGGGGAAGAACTTGAACTATGTAGAAAATTCTGTTAGGTCTTTCCTGCAGTTACCTGTGATCATTTTCATATCAGATGTGTAGTAACTACTATTATAAAAATTTAGATTTATGTGGCTGCAGCAAATGGACTTGCTAATAGGTATAAATGCATATTAAGTTTAATTATTTGGGAAGTAAATTTATTTCTCAAGAAGGGTCCTTCCTAATATTTTTCCTTACTGTTCTGTATGTTGAAGCTCAGATGGCTGTAAACTTGCAGGGTGCAAGTTGGTTTTTTAAGAGTTTGTCAGCTATTATCTTCAGTTTAGAAATGGAAAAAGAAGGAGTTGGTGATTTAGAATTTTATGCCTCTTCTGTTTTCCAAAAAGTGAAAAGTGTTTTTGGCATAATACAAGTTTTATTAATATTTCCAATATCTTACTGTAGATCAATGAATAGGAGATAGTCATTAATTTAAACTAAGGAAAATGGGCCACAGACTAGATCTTACAGATAATACATTTGGGCCTAGGACTTACAGAATGTTTTTAATTTACCCACCATGCCGCAAGCATTGTGCCTATGATCATGCAGTGCCACATTGTAGATTCTGACAGCTATTATTTCTCACAGTATTCATATTACTTAAATTACAACATTTAAGGACCACTAGGATCAGAGTGATAAGATTCTCATAAAATGAAGACATTCTGAAACAAAAGGCCATTTCAGTGAAGTTCTTACTTCTCTAAAACAGTCTTTTCCTGTAGTTTAGCCTGTGGCATCAAGGATGTGGGGTCTAGGTAGGAAAGCTCTTCTTTAATGTCCACTTTTCTCTGTCATCTCCAGTGGTGCTACACCTTGCCCCAAGAACTCTCTCTCTCTTTTAAAATAGTTCAAGGGGATCTCTGGGTGAGTCTTGGTGCATAGTTTTCATTTTAACCCTTCTTAAGTCCTAGGCTTTTCGTAGCATCTTTCCTCTTGGTGTCACACTCCTTTCTTTCTCCCCTTAATGAATGAAGCATGTATTTGTTTATTTCATTTGGAGCACCTCCTGTGTTCCAGGCATTATGCTAAGCATATGGCCCGGACAGACAAAACTCCCTGCTCTTGAGGAGCTCACATTCTGTCCCCGAAGCGAGCCTGAATACAGATCTGTCAGGCTAGTTGGTCAGTTCGCTTTGGTCCCAACTTCAGGCTGTCATGCTTGGTTTCATGTTGAATCTGTGCCTTCCTCAGTCATCTATATCCCAAGGACTCTGCCCCTAGGAAGTCCCTGGACTTGCCTTGGTTCTCACAAGAAAGCTCTTTGCTCAGTCAGGGTCAGCACGGTATGAATTCTTATCCTTCCAAACCAGACAACCAGGGGGATAGCATAGTATTGTGGAACTTAAAAACAGGCAGATGTGGGTTCCAAGCATTGCTATTTATTAGTCAGGCAAGTTCCTCAGCCTCTCTGAGCTTCCATTTTCTTATTTTTAAAGTGAGAGTGATAGTGTTTCAGCCATTATGCCATATAGTTATAGAATATCTACTGTTTGCCAGGTACTTTGCTATTTGCTGTGGTGAACAAAGTAGATATGGCTGCCACACTTCTCCTGGATAGTTGTGTGGAAGGACTAGATATCATGGTATATGCAAAGTACCTGACACCATGCTTGGCCCAGAGCAATTGCTCAGTAATGCTAATGTTTCCTGGGGGACCTCTTGTCACTCCCTGTTCCCCACTCTATGCATGCAGCCTGCTTGGGGTTACTGGCAGTGGTGTCCAGTTTCCAGTCCAGAATTACCACTTTGGGGATTATATGTCTAGGCCCCTTCAGGGCAAATTGTAAACAGAGCTGTAGTGCAGTACTGCTTGAACATAGTTCATATATTCTGTCTCCAGTTTAGAAGTTTCGTGACTTTTGGGGAGGATTTTTTTTTCCCTAACCACAGAAAATGTATTTCCAAGACATTTTTTTGAGCCCATGTAATAACGATGCATTATTATTCTGTAATTTAGAAGGTGGTTTCTTATGAGAATGTCTTTTATTAGAACAATTAATTCTATATTTTCATGTTGCTTTTTCATTCTCAGTGTCCTGGTGTGGCAATTTTCATGTTGCTTTTTCATTCTCACAGTGTCCTGGTGTGGCACATAGTGGTACTCCTATTTCAGAGTCTGGGAGACCAAGGGCCAGAGAAGTTACTAGGGAACTTGCCTATGGTTAAACTGCTAGTAAGTAGCAAACGCAGTAATTTATCAGAAGTCCCTGACTCTGAAAGGTTCTCTCTTTTCACTCACCAAGTTTTTCTATCATGCAGAGCAGGTTTCTGAGGCTATAGTTCAGGGGCCTGTAGGGGAGGGTGTCTAAGAGTTCTGGAGTGGTCTGAAGTTATATGTAAAAGTTTCGGTCCTTGCTTGCCCCTCTGTAGGAAATGTCAGTAACTTTTGCTTCACTCTGAAAGAGCCACCCTCCCCACCCCCCACCTCCCACCCCAGCCAGAAATCACTGCTAACGGGTTTCAGTGTCAGGGGTCTAGTTGGTTAGCCCTAGTCTTTAAAAATGTTGGTTATTTACTTATTTATTTATTTATGCATGCTTATTTATAAATGGGATATTAATATTAATTAGCCAATTAAATCAATCAGTTAAGCTGGCAATGCCTGGACTAAAGTAACTTTTCTATTTGGTTTAATTTATTTT